TAAGGGATATGACATACAAAAGATGTCTCAAGAACCTAAAAAAGAAACAAAACAGAAAGGTAAAACAAAATATATGGGTGGGTAAAAGAAATAAATTGACTTCAAACATCAAGTAGGTTCAGAGTCACTTTGCCAAGTGACATGAGTCACTTCCCAGAGTGTCTTAGAACTTTCAGCAATACACACAAAATTTCAAAGTCAACAGCTTCTGTTTTCAAAATTCCCATATTTAAGTTAGAAACAAAATAAACTAATAATAATCATGCATGAACAGAGCAGACATCGATTCTCCCAAACATAAAATAAAGCACAGATCCTATGCAGACTAAAAGAATCGAAGGCAAATCAGTCACAGCAACTTAGTTTGTTGCAGGCACACTCGGGAGGGTGACTAATCTCACTCTCCAGAGTGACTGATATCAGAATCTGCTGCATTTTTGGATTACCAATTGAATTGGGATGGCATTAATACTTCTTCTGCACATGGAAGCACACACATTAAACAAGAAAAAATTAAAATCACACAAAAACAAACTAAAAGGAAAAGAACATGGGTTGCCTCCCATGAAGCAAGCAAAATATTGAAATGCAAGATGCATTCCATAATCAACTCTTGTGGCTTCAAGTCACTCAGAATAGCCATCTTGATACCACAAGAATGTGCCATCAATTAGCCTATCATGCCTCCAGGAAGCATACTTTTGAATCATCCAACATAGAGGAAAATCTTTCTTGCTCCACTCTTCCAACATCTCGGGGTCCTTCTTGGTTTGACATTGATCGAAATCAATATACTCTATTTGCACACCCCAAGTGAATTCACCCTTACCTCTGCCCACATGACTCTCATCAAGGGAGATAATTGACTCTTCTTCATTCGTAAACAAAGATGTATCCCCCGAGTCAATTATCTCTCTTTCTGGAGAAAGAGTCTCATGAAATATTGAGCACGGCTCACCTTTAGGAAATAGTCCCTCTAAACACAACTCCTCATCAAGTCGGTTACTAAAATCTTGTTGCACAACTTTCTGCTTGGTAGGGTTTTTAACGCCACTTGAGGAAGTGTGTTTTGTCACTCCCCTGAGTGGGAATGGCAGAGGTGGAACATAAGGAGGTGGTTTCTGATATGGTGGTGGTTGCATCTCCACCCTTGGTTCTTCCTTTACCTCCTTCACCTCCACTGGTAGGACTAAATTCTGATGAGAAAATTGCTCTTCCTTCCTTTCTGAGATTTCATTCAACTTTTGGAGCCCTTGTTGTATTTGTTCAACTCTTTGCTCCAACTCCTTTAAAGTTTCCTGAAATTTGTCCCACTCTGTTTGACTCAGCTCCCAGTCGAGCTCACCTTCATAGCACGGGGACATTGGTGGATCAGAGTAGTAATATTCCTGCTCATAAGAATCAAAACCGTTAAAAGCACAAGGGGGATTAAAACTATAACTAGGTGCAATTTGTTGGTAATTATTCCAATAATAAGAATTTCCTATATATGAAGGATAATCTGCCATTAAATTTCAGAGTTGGCACACTCTTCTCAAATCAGAAAACAAAAGGAAAAAAAACAAAAACAAACAAATGGTTAAAAGAAGTTTTTCGCCGTCCCCGGCAACGGCGCCACTTTTGGTGGGTTGTCGAAGCCCCCAAAATAATTTACCAACTTAAACTGTAGATAGGATAAGTCAGGTCGATCCCACAGGGACGGTTAAACTTCAAATAACCGAAACACGAAATTGGACAAACAAGAAAGAAAGTTGCAGAGTGTCACTCACTTGCACGAGTGGGTAAAGTCACTCAGGCAAGTGACTCTGCAGAACTAAAGACAAAGAAAGACAAATGGAACCTCACTCACGGGAGTGAGAATTCCGACTGAAGGGACTGACTCAACAAACTGGATATTCATTCTCTTTTCCCTATGTAATCAAGTTGTGATATTGCACTCTTTTGGTATGAATTCATGCTCCTTCAGGCACTTATATATCTCTAAGTCACTTCCGATTTTTCCTAGAGGTATCTTTATGAACTCAATTAAACTATTTTCCAATGATTAATCAAGTCATAAAGTCATGAAGTTTTCAAGCCTTATATGAATACTTATGCTAACTAAGTATATTCCTATCTCAATTAGAACCTTGGACTGTTACCTCCAAGTCATAAGTTGAAGCTAAATGATTCTGAACCTTGTTTACCCTTCCGGGATTCACTTAGTTCTGTGCACAATCAATCAAATGGCCAATTTAATCAAGAGGTAGATGAAAGCTTTAACTTCAAAACACAAAATCATCCGAATGCATTCACAAACTTAAACTACATAGGTTCCAGAGAATGAAATCTAATTAACTACACATACATACAGAAAATACAAGAAAAGAAGTAAAGCATTAAGAAGAAGAAAATCTGGATGGCTGAGCAACAGGTCACTCGCCTGAGTGACAAAGGTCACTCAGGCGAGTGAGGTCTGTTACTCCTCTCTTTCTGCTACTTGACTTCTTCTTCCTTTGGAGTTTTCTCCCCTCTCTGCTCTCTTCTTCTCTCTCTGTTGTGTTTTTGTGTGTTGTATGTTCGCTTAGATATATCTTCATGCTGGGAATGCAGCTCCTTTTATATAGCTTTGAAGCCGGTTCTTCTTCCAAGATAGCCTCCCCATGCTTGTAGTTGTTTAATCCTCCCAATGTCTTGAGCCTGCAATCCAACTTGGCTGTTCTTCTTTTCTTCTTCTAGCAGTGGCAGCATTGCTCTCATTGATCAGCAGAGGTGGCTGAGATTGCAGCTGGGGGACAAGCATGCCTCTTTGAGGAGACATAGTCATTAATGACAAGATGCTTCTTGTCTAAGGGGCTGCTTCTTCGTCCAACTCAGCAATATTATCTCAGCAGCCCATAAATTATTCCCTTGGCCTCCAATTTTCAGCAATTATTCAATCCAGTCCTCACCTATTTAGAAACACAAAACTAGCTATGTAAAATGAATAAAATCTAAGAAACACCCCCAATTTCTAACTAATTAAAGAGCAAAATTGCAATGCTTTTATGTAACAATTTAACCGTTATCAATATGCATGATTGAAATCATTACATATTTTATAGTTACTATTATTTATTCTCATACAAAATAATATATAACTAATTTCTCTTGATCTACATTATAGTATCTGTATGCTTTTCTCTGCCCCGTCCATAAGACAGGTTTAACACCTAATATGTGTGTGTGTGTGTGTGTGTGTGTAACTAAACATGTGTTAGGATGTTAGAATTTTCTAAATTTAATTTCTCAATTTTACTATTATTAAATTTTAATTTTTTGGTTAAAGATGAAGATTCTAATACTGTTACTACCAACAAATTATAAGCACTAAAAGATAAAATTTTAATTCAAAATCAAAACAACAAAAATTTTATAATTATCTTATCAATTACTTTATCAACCCAAGAATTTAGGAGGTAATCTCGAATATATGGCAGTCCACTAATCATTACACAAATTACTTAAATGAATCAAATAATTTAATTGTTGCATAGTTCAGTAATATGATAATTTGATTTTTAAATTAAAAAATTATGCATCATATTAATAACTAAAATGTGCAATAGTAGAATGATTTGATCTTATCATGAATGATTTAAATAATAATGATTACTATTATTATTTTTAATTTTGAAAATGTATCTATCACTAATCATGGGACAAGTTAACACTACATCAAAAGCTATTTTGGTGGTTCCTACTCACTACATCAGAGTACAAATGCATTCTATTACAACAAATTAATGCTTTTGAATATCAGGAACCTATTGAATAGAAACATATCTAATTTTAACAAGAATGACAATCTGTTGGATTACCTTTGATGCACTGCCAATTCATTCTTGAAGATAAGATTATTTCTAGCTTTCTACTCAAAATAGATCGATGCACACCAAGAAAATTTCATGGCTAGTCAAAGCCCAATTAAGAAAATGTTGAATATATTAACCAAATATTATTCCAAGAATTGGAAGGTTTCAAAAATTGGTTCACTGTTGATGATTCAGCTTGGGAATACAAAGAAAGTATTAGGGCCATCAATTGGACGAATTTTAGAAGAAAAATGCTTCATCTCTATGCTCATATTCCAACTAATTTGTTAATTTTTGAAGATGTATTATCGTACATTGTTGGTGTTAGCCTTTTTGGACAACAGTGATACTTACAAATGTTTTTTTTTTCTTTTGTGATCCAAAACGAAGAGCAATGAGCAAAACTTTTCAGATCTCAAACAAAGAGCGATGAGGAACAGAAGAAACCCAAGTGGCCAAACAAATCAGAGCTTCTCCTACCCTCACAATTAGCTACCAAATGATTTTGCTATATGAATTGATTATAGGGATGGTGCAATCGTCCTTTCATTAGTTTATTCTATCACATATTCAGGAATTCTTTGGCATTCTATATAGATAATTTGTAATGATTACACAAAATAAACTATGGGAACCCACACTTCATAACATAAAACCCTCCAAAATAAACAAACAGCTTAAATCCATTATTAATTAACAATCCTAAGCTTAACACAGTTTCTTCATTAACATCAAAGACATCAATCTATTGTAGATGTGAATTGAATCAAAGCTGGAAGAAAACAAAAATAATTCTAATTTACATTTTATTTTCTTCTATATTAATTTCTTCTCTTTCATTCAAAGCCCTAGCTAAATCTTTCATCTCCCTTTAATTTTTTTTTATTTTTATCTAAAAAACATAAAAATGGTGTAGGTAATTGGAAGAATATGGTAGGTCGTTATTTCTGGAAATGGAAGGAGATGGAAGTTAGAAGAAGAAAGGAGAAAAGAGAAGGAGATAGTCGATGATGATAACAATTAGGAGTTACTCGTCAGAGATGAAGACGAAAGAATAATAGTGGGGAAAGTAGGATAGATGACAATTACATAAATTTCTACTTCTTTCTTCTTTGTCCTAAATTAAGTAAGATAAATGCGGATCTGCGCAAGGAGGAACAAGCAGGGATGGAAAAGCTGGCTGCGGAAAAGGTTGCGCTATCAGAAAAGGTTTCGGTGGGAAGTAAGAATGGACTTCGATTGAATCAGAAAAAAGTCAAATGGGATTCCAAAAGGAGTGCCAAGAAAGGTGAAATGCAGGTTGAGACTGTTAATGCCAATCCTCAGATCATCAGTGATCTTTCTACTAAAATTACGGAGGCACAGGATGCGGAAAACCTAACTTTGCAGCCTGCAAGAATTAGATTAGTCGATGGGGCTTCTGGCTCTGGTTTAACAGAGAAGGAAAAGGAATCTATTATTGTTGATATTGAAAGTAGTCCGAAACGAGATTCGGGTGATAAGACTGTGAATGATGTGATTCTCTTTGAAGGAGACGATAATGCCGTAGTTGATCCAAAGATTCAGGTTGCGAGCGAATTGCGACTGAGCTCGAAGGCGCAAGGGGATTTCGACACTCAGCGTAACTCTGCCCAGCCAGAGACTTTGGAAACTATAGTTGTTGACGATCTGCACCTGGGTCATAGTGCGCAAGGGGATGCTGGGTTACAGTTGCAAACGTCACAACTCGATCTAGATGACACAAATGGACCTCGTGTAGCCATTGAGCAAGGGAATAAATTTGCGCTCCTTCAGATTTGTGATGATGATGGTGATGTATCTGGAAATGGTGATGAGGAGGATCCTATTATTGATCTTACGTTGGCTACGGGTAGAGAATCCGTGATTGGTGGTCCTCAAGGATTGTATGGCGAAAATTCAGAAATGGTGGCTGGTCTAGAAATGGAAGCTGTGACAGTTAATGACATTCTGCAACCAGAAATTATTAAGCCACCACTGAAATACCCTGATGATTCATTTCCAGCAGAAAGTGAAGGAAGTGATGCTGCTACTGATAGGGGAACATGGTCAGAAGGGGATAAGGAAAGGCTAACATTGGATACTGAACGTGGGATCAAGACTGGGGTAAAGAAAAAGAAACGCGATAGGAAAACAAGGGAGCAAATCGCCAAGGAGCTTGAAGGGGCTGAGCTTCGGCGATCACTTCGCTTTCAATAAGTAGTTCTCTTTTCCTTTAAAAATTTCCAATGATTAGTGTCATTTTTTGGAATGTTCGTGGAATAAAAAAACAAGCATCTCAGCGACGCTTGAGGACTCTTATGCAAAGATATCAAGTTGCAATGGTGGTTATTCTGGAGCCAATGCTTCCAGCTAATAAACTTGACGAAATAAGAAGGGAATTGAGACTGGATCATGCATTCTCGTCCAGCACAAGTAAAATCTGGGTAATGAGCAGTAGGATGTACACAATAAAAATGATAGAGGATGCTGGACAAGTAATGCATATGGAGGTGTGCCACCTTCCAACACAGAAACAGTTTCTTATGTCCTCTGTGTATGCAAGATCGAACAAGGTTGACAGGCGGATTCTCTGGAAAAATATGGAGCTCTTCCGTGCAAGGAATCCAGCATATCCTTGGATGATTGGTGGGGATTTTAACGTAATAAGAACCATTGAGGAATATTCTGGAAACACGGTTCAAGATATTGGCGCAATAGAGGAGTTTAATCAGGCCATTGAATCGGCTGATCTACTTGAATTTTCTTCAGTTGGGGAGGATTTCACATGGGGTGGCACAAGAAATACGGGATGGGTTAGTAAGAAACTGGATCGCATTCTCTTTACTAAGGAATGGCTAGACATGTTTCCAAACCACTACATTGAGCATCTCAGCCGGACAACTTCAGACCATAATCCCTTGCTACTTCAGTTTGATGTTCAAGTAGCAACTAAGCCTCGTCTATTTCGATTTCAACAAATGTGGTTGCGCAGAACTGAATTTAGGGCTGTGGTGCAAGAAAGTTGGTCGCAACCGGTCCTAGGCAGCGGAATGTTTGCTTTCTCTACTAAGCTGCGTAGGCTCAAGGTCAAACTCAAAGATTGGAATCAGAATAATTTTGGTGATGTTTTCCAGAATTTAAAGAAGGCAGAAGAAAAGGTGAAGGAAATGGAATTCGTTTATGATCGCTCGGGACAAGTTTCAGACAGAATCAATCTTTCGGAGGCAAATGCTTTTCTATTGCAAAAGCTGAAGGAACACGAGGATTTCTGGAGGCAAAAAATGAAACTAAAATGGCTAAAGGAAGGAGACTTAAATACTTCTTTCTTTCATGCTTCACTGGTGGATAAAACAGTTAGATTGGGAATCCAGAAAATACAAACGGAAAGTGGAAGAAGTTTGACTGAGTTGCTGGATATTGAAAATGAGGCCATCAGGTTTTTTAAAAGCCTATTAACCGAAAGTTCCACGTCTCAGAATCAGACTATAAAGCAGGATTTATTTCTTCAGCATTTTCAAGATGAACTTGATGACAATGAAAAGCTTATGCTTATTCGACCGGTTTCATTGGAGGAATTAAAGATAGCCGTGTTTGGTCTAAGTGAAGAAAGTGCGCCAGGAATGGATGGGTTTGGAGGCTCCTTCTATCGTTCCTGTTGGGATATAATTGCTGAGGATTTGATGAATGCTTGCAATGAATTTATGGCGGGTGTCCCAATTCCGAGAGCTATAGCAAGTACGGTAATCACTTTAATCCCGAAGAAGTCGTCCATTTCCACATTTTCTGACTTCCGGCCAATAAGTCTTTGTAACTTTCTCAATAAAGTTTTTACGAAGATCTTAACAGAGAGATTAAAGATAGTATTGCCTAAGATTATATCGGAGGAGCAATCAGCTTTCCTTGAAGGGCGGGATATCATCGACAATGTCGTTTTGGCCCAGGATCTATGTCAATTCCTAAAATATAAAGCTGTGGGGAATAATGTGGCGATAAAGATAGATATGATGAAAGCTTTTGACATGGTGTCTTGGAGCGTTTTGGAGAAGGTATTTTTGAAGCTAGGGTTCCCGGTGCAATTTGTAATATGTGTTATGAACAACTTGAGGAATAGTTGGTTCTCGGTCTTGATAAATGGTTCCCTGGCTGGTTTTTTCAAATCAAGTCGTGGGATTAAGCAAGGTGACCCACTCTCGCCTTACCTATTCATATTGGTGGTTGAAGCTATGACGAGAAGGCTAAAATACTTAGTTCGGGAGCGGAAAGTGGAGATGTATGGTACGCCGGCAGGTTCCCTAGCCGTTACGCATCTTTGCTTTGCGGACGATCTAATTATCTTCACAAGAGGTGTGAAGAAATCTTTAAAAGCTTTGACAGGTTTCTTAGCGGACTATGAAGAAGCTTCGGGACAAAAAATGAATAAACAGAAAAGTGCATTCTATGTGGCTGACACTTGTAGTGCGCAACGGGTTCAAACCATTTCTAGTGAACTTGGGATACAAAAAGGATCTTTTCCTTTTATGTATTTGGGGTGTAAACTATTCTATGGCAGGAAGAAAGCCTCTACGTTTCAGTTCCAATTGGATTCCTTGGATAAAAAGCTCTCAAGTTGGAAAAATAAGCTTCTAAGCCCGGGAGGAAGACTTGTCCTTTTAAGGCATGTCTTATCGGCTTTACCAATACATGTTTTCTCAGCCATAAGTCTGCCAATTTCTATTATTAAACAGCTGGAAAAGAGGTGTCAGCGATTCCTATGGCAAGGCCTTGGTGAAGAACAAAAACGGCATTGGAGATCCTGGGAAAAATTGGCATATCCAACTGAAGAGAATGGCCTAGGTTTTCGGAGATGTCAGGATGTGGTGCTTGCATTTTCCTTAAAACTATGGTGGAAGGTTCATCAAAGGAAGGGATTATGGAGCAAATTTGTCCTTTCTCTTTCGGATTCAGCTAAGGCGAAGACCACTTGGACCCGAGTTCAACAAGTAGATTCTGCTGCGCGAAGGCAAACCAAAGTCCTTATTAAAGGGGGATAGGTCTTTTGGCATGATAATTGGGCACCGGAAGGAGTACTATGGATGATGATGCTTCAACACCGCCAAATTCTCACCTTACTATTCATGATTTCTTTACTAATAAGGATGTTTTTTTCCCAATTTTTCAGGGTTTTTTTCATTCTACGGTTGGGCGTTTTCTTCATGATATGGCACCGATTTTTGAGGAAAAGCGAGACATTGTTTTTTGGCAAGGAACGACCATTGGCGTATTCTCTACCAAGTCGGCTTATACCCTAGTGCGGCGGAGACAACCAGTGGACATGCTAGCCAAAAAATTATGGCATAAAATGATACCTCTGAAAGTGTCTTTTTTCTTATGGAAGCTTCAAAATCTTCTCATTCCCTTCCCAGAAATATTGTCTCGATTCGGAATGCAGGTTTGGCCGTCTATATGTGGCTTTTGTAAAATGCATGATGATTCCATTCAACATTGTTTTTATGGCTGCCCCCTAGTATTTAGAGTTTGGAGTCATTATGCACGTCTTTTTGACATTAAGCTACAGAGTAACATGACATTGCTAAATGTTTTAATATATTGGGGGAAAAAAGGTAGTTTCACAACGGCCAGGAAGAGTCTGCTTGCTATGCTTCCTTCTTTTATTTTGTGGGAAATCTGGAAATTAAGGAATCAAGTCCTTTTTGATGGTGAAGTTTTTGTGGTTCGAAATGTCTTGCATAAAGTGAATACGGACATTAGACAAGTATTGATGATCCACAAAATAAAGGCGGCATCGGTATTGGAACAAGATTTCATTGACCAAGCCTTCGGTATTAAGCTAAAGGAGGTTCAAAGGCGTAGTTGTAATGTAGTCAAATGGAAAGCGCAAATGCAACAAGGTTACATCTTGAATACGGATGGTTCTGTTATTGATGGAGAAGCAGGTTATGGTTTTGTAATCAGGAAGCATGATGGGTGTTTTATATATGGAGAATGTGGCTATTTAGGCGATGGTGACAGCTTTGGAGCTGAGGTCTTTGGTATTTTATTCGGGGGTGCGGAAATGCGATTCCCTAGGGTTGGATCTCGTGGAAATTCAATCTGATAATATGGCTTTGGTATCCATTCTGGGGTCATTATATTCGGTGCCTTGGAAATATTATGCACATATAATGGAAATTCACTCTATCATGGATAGAAGATCATACCGGATATCTCACATTTTCAGGGAAGCTAACTCTGTTGCGGATGGCTTTGCTAGACAGGCGTCTAGAGGCATTTCACAAGTATTTCCTAATGCTATAGGATTACCTAGAGATATTAGGGGTCTTGTAATGCTAGATCAAATTTCTTTTCCTTACTTGAGAGTAAGATTAAAATGACAGGGTTGGATGTAATTAGCAAGGGTACGACTATACTCTTCCCTTGCTTTCGATTTATATATTAATAAATTCAGGGAGGAGTGACTCTAGGGAACTATGTGGTATATATGTTCTTCCCATGGGTAGAGCCCTTGGGTGCATTGTATCATATAGCACTGATTAATTTATAAAATCTCCTGGACTGTCCTTGAGAATTTTATAAGTTAATTGGAACCTGAAAATAACTCTAAATCCCTTTAAAAAATAAAAATAAAAAATTAAAAGTAGATCATAAAAAGATAATTAATTAAGGTTGTCTTTTTGGTGCATGGTGGATGGATTTGTGTAGTGTTGTTGATCCACTTCCCAAAAAAATAATTTATAAACCTACTTAAAACTATTAGCTAGTGGTAAGCAAGGTCGTTCCACATGGACGACAGTCAACCGCTCAAAATCTTCTTATAGTACAGAAAAAGAAAGAAAATAGTTGAACAGATTGTCACTTGAGAGAGTGAGAATTGTCAAATGACAGAGTGAAGAGACAGAAGGGTCAATTACCTTCCTACTTTTATGATCAAGTTTTGATTCAAGTATTCCAATAGTGTATGATTAGTTGTTCGATCAGGCACTTATGTATCTTTAAAATTTCTTCGAGACAGAATAAAGAGTCCTAGATTATCAACCCAGTCAAAGTGTTCTTTAATCTAAGCCATTGAGTTCTTAAGCCCTATATGATCGCCTATGCCATTCACCTAACTTCTGTCGATGTCTGGAACCGCAGGGTAGATTTCCTCCATTTTCATAGACTAGATTAAGTAGTTATAAGGTTATGCTTCCCCTTCCAGATCTTCATAACCATGCAAGCAC